GGCGGCGTCGAGGGCGCCGTCGGCGGCCTAGTTCAAATCTTCACATTTTGGTCATTTTCGCTCCAAATTTGCTCCTTTTTGCATATTTTTCCTCCAATGACCCTGATTCCTCATTCCTGCAACAAAACATCAAAAATACTTTTTTTTAAAGTGCGATATCATCAAAAACAGTATAAAATAAGTATGAAAATCTCAACATTTATGAAAATCTCAACATATTTTCTTTTGGTCACTTATAAAGGAAAATGATACAAAAAATTTACATCAAGAGGTGCACTTAGTGGAGTGTGTGAGCAATTCCGAAGGGAAGATTTTGTCTTGGTGAGTGTAGTGCATGATTACTTCTAACCAACACTTCTAAAAGATGCCGAGAAATTTTTTAAGAAATGAGAACAATGCAGAAGTGTGCAACGCTATAGTATCAGCCAACACACTAACTGCAACCCATCGTGGGTCCATGACCTTTCGTTGTCTGGGGACTTGACATCGTTGGGCCATTTCCCCCATCACGAGGCAAGTGAAATTCCTTCTGGTTGTAGTGAATTATTTTTTTTAAGTGGATCGAAGCCAAGGAGTTTGCTCGGATCACTGCAGTGGTTGTTTGTAAATTTCATATGGACGAACTTAATATTTCATTAAGGGCTACACTAGTTATTATCACAGACAACGTGACTCAGTTTACCGACTAAAGAGTAAAAGGTTTCTGCCAATGTCAGGGAGTCAGCTTGAATTTTGCATATGTGCATCACCCTCAGACAAATAGGTAAGCCGAGGCAACCAATAAGATTATCTTGAACATGTTAAGGAAGAAAGTTGAAGGAGCTAAGGGTAATTGGGCAGAGGTTCTCCTGTTTGTTCATTGGGCGGTTCAGACTACACCTTTTACAGGGGCCGCGTAGACACATTTTTATGTTGTCACAAAGGATGGAAACAATGTTATGCAAATACAATCATCACAACCATAGGTGGTGAATGCTTCGACATTCAACCAGTTAAAATTAACTGAGTGGCAAGAAGCAAATGACAAACGAATAAGCTCGCGCTAATGATCTGAGTCAGTCCTTCAAGGAGGAAGTGAATAGGCATATGAATTGGTATTACAATAGACACGTCCAAGAGAAGACGTCAGCCACCAGAGATCTTGTGTTGAAGAAAGTTGATCCAACCACATGAATACAAGCTGTGTGAAAGCTCGATTAGGCATTGATCAGACCCTTCATCATCGACAAATGGGTCGCCTCTAGAGCATAAAAGTTAAAGGTGTACACAGAGAAAGGAGTCCCTCAGACATGGAGAAAATACAACCTAAAGAAATTTTTTTCTTGGAAAAAATTTGTATATCGATGAGTAAAAAGAAAGCCTCATCATTCTAAATATTATACTTTGATGTTAATTACATGAAAAAATTAGAGTTTTCTAATTGTCCACAGGTTCCTAGGTTTGACCAAAAATCGAGGAACCCCAACAGTTCATGCAAGGGATCGTCAAAGTATGACCAACACTTAGGGAACTCGAACCATCCCACCAACAGCAGTTTCATTTGAGCGGCAAAATTGACAGCGACACATAACATTCAATCAATAAAAATCTTCTAAATTTGACCGAAACACAAGATGTCTGATTGGAAAAAAATTTTCTAATGCCGAAAACGACAAATAGACATCCGATCATCAAAAAATCATCCAAATTCGTTTGGAACATTACACAAGAACTGACCAACGACATCCATGCATCAATAAAAAAACTGACCCACGACATCCATGCATCAATAAAAAACTATGTAACCTAGCTCAAAATGGGTTAAGCTCCGATAGTTTTTCTCTACCCATTAGTGATAAGATCATTGGTGGGTATCACAAGACTCACCCTAGCAGTGAGTCTTGACAGTTACCCCTCAAACGAAGGCTGTGACAAGATCCACTTAATACGGCTAGCATAAGTTGTGGCCCGTCAAACGAAAAGACCTAAGCGAGCAATCGAGACATGTGAAAGTGGTAACTAAGCCAAACCAACCAAGGGCATACTAAAAAAATTTGAGCCAACAATCATCACAAGCAATTATTATAAGTAAAAAAATGAGATAAAGGTAAAACACAAGAAACAAAGATGAAAATCGACTGAAAATTTTATTTTATTTCATGATTAAAAACATACAAAGAATTTCATTATGACAGTTTTTTTACAAATGATTTACTATGCTTTTTCTTATATGTATTAAGTAAAAAAGAAAATTTTTTCTCTATGTCACAGGCAAAGCTGAAGTTAAGTCAAATGTCTGAAGAACCTCCATCGTCTTTATCTCTCTCATCCTCTTGCTTGTCCTCCTCCGAGCCTCGGAGCAATGTAGCAAATTTATTCAGATCAGTCCCCCCTCAGGGGAGACGAGCTTTGCCTTTATAGTTAAGCCAATCTTTAAGGAAGCTCCAACTCTTAGTTGCACAGCAAAGGCTTCCACCTGCAAAGGGTAGGAAGGAAGCTCAAAAAATAAATCTTCTATCATTTTCATTGTCTCCATCTTTTCCCTTGGCTTAATTTTCCCCTTGAGTGCTGACAACGACTTTGATTGTCTGTGCACCTTGGCTTCGACCTCCTCCTCCCACTCTTCAATTGTTATCGCTCGCTCTTCAACCGCCTTAGCCCGTGCCTCCACGACATCCATGCATCAATAAAAAACTATGTAACCTAGCTCTTTGTGCCCTCGCTGAAGGGCGACCGATTGGAAGTGAGAGGCCTCTTGGGCCATTATTTGATACTAATTGACCATCTGGTACATGTCCTAGACGGTGAGTGCCTAAGGGCCTTCTCATAAGTGCGAGATCAGATGACCTCAATTATTGTCAAATGATAGTTAGCCGCATTAAGAGAGTCGAAATACAAGTTCTTCAGATCAATTAGGGCAAACCGACCATCCAAGCTGGTGCTCACCTTCGCCCCCTCGTCTTGCATAGGAATCCACATAAGTAGGGGTGCATTTCGCTTTTTCTGAGAAGTAGAAGGAGGTGAGACACTCGGACTAGTGATTGGTGCTTTCCACTTCCAGCGACTCATCTCTTCTTTCTGGGAGATTGGCTCAGACTCAGATTCAGACAGAGCAACATGAGAGGGTAGGTAGGCTTTCTCTTTTTCTGACAACTTTATACAAATTAGACCAGCCGATCAAGGGGTAACTGACCCTGCTTCCATCACTCTTCTGAGGTCTCCCCCTTGACACCACTCTTTTCAACCTGGCTCAACGTATGCTTAGTTTCTTGGTGTCGCGCACTCGGGGGACATGTTACTGATAAAGAACTTTTAGTTGAGATTGAAGAAGCTTTCCTCTCGATAATAACTAAGTCGTCGATGAAGAACCTTTAGATCACAATGGAAGACTCATATATAAAATAAATAAGGTATGCTCCTTCAATATTTCTCCAACATGGGCCACCACTGGCACATCTTAGTCCGCCACCACACCAGCCTCAAGGCGGGATTGCTTCCCTTGCACAGCCGCCTCCCGCAAAGCCACTTGGGTGTCCAAAGCCACCCAATGAATCTTTGTTATTTGCCCAAACTTCGTGGCTACAATACTCGATTGACAAACATCAAGTTGATATACCGGTAGATTGAAAGTTGTTGCCCTTCGACTTTTGCAGCTTCAACCAGGACTCAATCTGTTGTCATCTTCCTTTTTTGTCGGCCAAGCCTCCTCCGGATGGGATGGTCTGGATGCCCCAGCCCATTGAAGGAGAACAAAGAAAAGAAACACATCATCCAATCATTCATTTTATTCTCCGAGCCCAGCAAACGGTGCTTCCTCAGCGAGGTGAACTATGCGTAGCCCTCTGAACCAACCCAAGTTGATAACATGTAAGTAAAAAGTTCCATCAACAATAGGATTTTTGTTCGGTTGCAGAAGATGACATGTAATAATGATAGCGATGGAGTTGGGCAAATTCTAAGCAGGGATGACCCCGTAATGGTTGAAGATAGCCCACCACTCTTTGCAGAAAGGTAGTCTTAAGCCGAATCTAAACTAATCTCCATAAAAATAAGGTCATCTCCAAACTCGATCTTGCTCGATCCTTCCTTCCTATGGTTCTGAGCTTTATGCCAGAATCAAAGACAAATGTCTACTGTAGTCGGGCTACCTCCCCCTATGTCATCATTAACCAATCCGTTGCAAAGACTCACCTGAAGAGTTGTGGAATACTTTGGAGCCATCCAAACAAAGCATAGATAGTAAAAGAGCAGAAAACCGAGAGAGCAAAGGGAAGTAAGGATAAAAAGACAGTAAAAGTGTAGCATCAATCCAACCAAAAACCATTATATATAGGGTAAACGAAGAAGTAGAACCATCACAAATGGGTAAAAATAAAACTGTATTGTAATTTCAAAAATGAACTGAAATAAATATCACATCAACATAGGATTCAAAAAGGAAAAATAAATTTTATTCTGAAGCTATACATTACAAAGTACACTCATAAATTAAATTAGGAGAAGACTTTTACAAGATGATGCTCAAATTCAAATAATATTTAGCCCTTAGTTGCATTTATCCAAAACAACAGAGAACCAAATTGTAGTCATGGATGCGGTTAACTATAATGCATAGACAAACAAAGCCCTGTAGTTCAATAAAAAATAAGCATTAACAAGCAACTAGAACGAAGCTGATGAATGAATAATCCGACGACTTAAAACTCTTATGATACAATCCTTCTAATAATTTTTCCACCATCAATACCAATCAAGCTTAGTAAATTCTCAGCCGAACCCTTAAATTTCTGAAATCCTTAATTCAATCGCAATTAAATGTTGAGCATAGTTGGATTTGACAAAAAAATCTTCATTGAATCATTCAATATATACATATATCGAGACATTATCACAATTAAGAAATATGTTTCCTTTAATCTTTTCACCAGAAATAAAAATATGGTCACACAATGCCAATAGACAAACTGGAAGGCATCATTATCGGCGAAGAAGGCGATAATTATGAAAAGCTAAGGAAGCAAGAACGCAAACGGCCGCTGCGATCTCGTCGGGGGACAAAACGAAGAGAGGGGCCGACGAGCGTACCTTGTCGCGCATCCGTCGAGCGAGGAGAAAACCAGAGGCGAGAAAAAGAATGGCAAACATCTTGCTCGCCGACGGGACGGGGCCGTCCTTGCGCCGGGGGAGTTGATCGCAGCAGTCGTCGGTTTCCATCTTTGTTGTGTTTCGCTTTGGAATTCGAGGGAGATATCGCTGCCGGCGTCTTGTCGTATCGGATGCCTGCGGGAATTCCGAAATTAGGGTTTGGAAAGAGAGATGGGGAAGTGTATTGTTGCTCCTCGGATGTATGAGAAAATTCCCAAATGGCGGAGAGCGGAGTCATGCCATTATAAATTAGATGGATCTCATCTCAGTTTTAACCACCATCTCCCTCCTTAAATTTAATTCAAGTTTATTTCGATTCAAAAAATTAAATCAATTTTATTATTTTATTATATAAGTTTGTGGTTTTATCTATGATCATGCAAGGTACAGATCAGAGCGGCGCTCAATCTCGCTCTGACTACTCCGACGGAGGAATATCTGTAACAACAACCAGGTTAAATATGAAGTTTTAATTACTGGGTTTTGTTTTGCTTATGAAATAACTCACAATAAGTGTTGAATAAAGAAAAGGGGCAGAGGACTACGAAGTTTTAATTGCCCCAGAGGACTACGAAGTAGCAAAACTTGTATCTGAGTGGATCCTCTTGGGGAAGGAATGCCTCAAAAACTCCTTCGACGGGCCATTGAAGAATTTGAAGCAATGGATCTAAAGATTGAAGGGCCAATTAGCTAGGCAGACACCTGTATCCTATACCTTGAGACCGAGAAGATTGATCTCGGAAGAAGTTGTCGATTTGAAACTATTCAACTATAAAGCATCTTATTATCTTTTGATCGAATGAAAGCTTTTTCAGAGAACATTTATGTCAATTTACGTGTGGCGTATAAAGGAAAATGATACAAAAAAATGTCCTTCAAGAGATTCACTTAGGGGAGTGTGGGAAACATTACGAAAGGAAGATTTTGTCTCAGTGAGTGTAGTGCCATAATTAATTATGGCCAACACTTCTAAAAGATGCTAAATTTTTTTCTAAGAAATGTGAACAATGAAGAAGTGTACACCAATACAACATTATCTGTCTCACAAACTGCAACTCATCGTGAGTCCATGACTTTCACTACCTGGAGACTTGACATTGTTGGACCCTTTCCTCTGTCACGAGGCCAGTGCAAATTCCTTCTAGTTGTAGTGTATTATTTTTTTAAGTGGATCGAAGCCAAGGTGTTTGCTCGGATCACTGTCGCAGTTGTTCGAAAATTTTATATGTACAGACCTGATATTGTGCATTACGTGCTATCAATGGTTATCATCACATACAACGTGACTCAGCTTACCGACCAAGGAGTAAAAGATTTCTGCCAATGCAAAGGAGTCAGCTTGATGTTTGCATCTGTGCATCGCCCTCAGACAAATGGGTAAGCCAAGGCAGCCAATAAGATTATCTTGAACCTGCTGAGGAAGAAAGATAAAGAAGCTAAAGGGGAACTGGGTAGAGGTTCTTCTGTCTGTACTTTGGGCGGTTATACACTGATCGAGCAGATGTTGTCACAAATGATGGAGACAAGGTTGTCAGTTAAATACAATCATCACAACCAAAGAGTGGTGAACGCTTCGACATTCAACCAATCAGAATTAACTGAGTGGCAAGGAGCAAATGACAAAGGATTGAGCTCACGTTAATGATCCGATTCAGTCCTTCAGTAGGAGGAAGTGAATTGGCAGATGACTTGGTATTACAATAAACACTTCCAAGAGAAGTCATTCGCCAACACATATCTTGTTTTGAAGAAAGTTGATCCAACCACATGAGGAAAAGCTGTGAGAAAGCTCAATCGGTCGTGGATCAGACACTTCATCATCTACAAATGCATCACCTCTAGAGCATACAAGCTAAAGACGTACACAAAGAAATGAGTCCCTCAGATATGGAGAATATACAACCTAAAGAAAATTTTCCTTAGAAAATTTGACAATGAGTAAAAAGAAAGCATCATCATTCCAAATCTTATATTTTGTTGTTAATTACATAAAAAAATTAAAATTTTTCTAATTGTACATAAGATCCTTGGTTTGACCAACAATCGAGGAACTCGAAGAGTTCATGCAGGGGAACATCAAAGTATAACCAACACTCAGGGAACTTGAACCATCCCGCCAACAATGGTTTCTTTTGAGAGGAAAAACTGATAGCAATGCATGAACTTCGATAAAAAAAAAAAATCATCTAAATTTGACTGAAACACAAGATGTATGATTTGTAACATCTTTCTAATGCCAAAACGGAAAAAAGACATCTGATTTTAAAATCCTCTAAGTTTGATTAGCAAATTACACAAAACAGACCCCCAACATCCATACACAATAAAAACATATGTAACCTACGTCGAAATGGGTTAAGCTCTGACATTGTTTCTCTACCCATTACTGATAAGCTACGATTGTTTCTCTACCCATTAGAAACTTTTATATAAAATAAGAGCAAAAAGTGTCTTGTCAGGCTAAGAACATAAAACTAAGCTAAGCTATTGTTGGTAATATATATATATGAGGGCACCCTTTCGGCTAGATACGTTAATCCTATTTATTAAGCACTCTTTAATAATTTAGTTTGTAGGAAATGCAGTACCTAGACGTTAAGCTTCTCTTTCTTTGTGTAATTTTTTTATTCTCATATCATTGCTTTATGGATAAGTGATTACCATATAATCTCCACTTCATGATTTGTAAGCCACTTATACATAAGCAATATATATGCACATGATATATGGTCCAGTTCAAGATGGCTCTAGCATTCTAAGCACTTGGATGTGAGATGCAGCATCATCCTTCTTCAATTCCAGATTGCTCACTTTGAATTGTCATCTTTTTCTTTCGCATGGCAGTACATCACTATCCATGCTTTTGTCTCCTTTTAATGCACAGAGAGTATTGGTCTCTAAAACCTTCCCCTTTCTTCTTCAGTTTGTTTGAGATAAATTTGTTATGGACATCTACTTAACCACCTGACTTAGGATGATAAACGAATTAGTTAGCTTCTCTTGAGGTGTATCCAATTTGAATTCAAGCCAGCTTTTTTATTCCAATTTTGGCTTTTATCAAATATGTACACATTATTTCCCTCCTTGTTTAACAACTCAATGTTGGCCTAAATTTGTTGAGCAAAGTCTTTGAACAATGGACTGATGCCTGCAATAGCATGAAGAATATGTGGCCCTTCAAGGCATCTTTTATATATACCAAGCCCATAGATGAGTCCAACAAGGGACCATTCTTATTTGGTAGGATATTAAGGATGGAATTTGTAAACTTTTTAGTAAAATTCATAGACATTTTAGAACATCTCGAAGTTTTTCAATACTTTTTAGTAAAATATTGCTAGTTAATCAATTATCCTTGAATATGTCATCCACTGTATAAAAGATATATATCAAGTGTAGAACTCAGTTTATATATATATATATAATTTTTTTAAAGAAAATCGATATTTGACAGAGGCCTAAATATCAATTTCTCATGCGCTTTTTGGCCTCATGATGAGAGCCCTCGCGTCACGGTGGGATTGAACCCTTGACCTAAGTGGACTTACAGTGACCCTGCCATCACACACACACAGAAATAGATATGTATATCCATCAGCACATCATGAGAAGAGCGTGGACCTTGAAGACCCATTACATGATTTCCTTAGTTGATAACTTTCACCGTAAGTGCTTATATATATATATATATATATACCA